TTTTCCTAAAAAATGGCTCCAAAATCACCCCAAGTTATAATTACATTTACTGATATATATTGATGCCCTTATGCTATGTAGAAAGTTTGAGCCGATTCCGACTTTAATTTTTCGAGTTATGACCATTTTTTAAAAACTCCAAATTTCTGAAAAGTACCCAAGGCTATAGCCCATGGTTTTTTCCAAAAAATGGCTCCGAAATCACACCCAATTTTTATTACATTTTCTGATACATATTGATGTCCTTATGCTATGTAGAAAGTTTAAGCCGATTCCGACTTCAATTTTTTGAGTTATGACCATTTTTTTTAAACTCTGAATTTCTGAAAAGTACCTAAGGCTATAGCCCATGGTTTTTTCTAAAAAATGGCTCCGAATCCCACCCAATTTTTATTCTATTTTCTGATACATATTGATGTACTTATGCTATATAGAAAGTTTGAGCCAATTCCGACTTTGATTTTTCAAGTTATGACCACTTTTAAAAAACTCCAAATTTCTGAAAAGTACCCAAGGCTATAGCCCATGGTTTTTTTCAAAAAATGGCTCCGAAATTACCCCAAATTTTTATTACATTTTCTGATACATATTGATGTCCTTATGCTATGTAGAAAGTTTGAGCCGATTCTGACTTTGATTTTTCGAGTTATGACCACTTTTTAAAATGCCAAATTTCTGAAAAGTACCCAAGGCTATAGCCCATGGTTTTTTCCAAAAAAATAGCTCCGAAATCACACCCAATTTTTATTACATTTTCTGATACATATTGATGTCCTTATGCTATGCAGAAAGTTTGAGCCAACTCCGACTTCAATTTTTTGAGTAATGAGTATTTTTTAGATCCTCCACAGCCTGACCCTGCTGCTCCACCAGGCACTACTAACACTAGTCCCCTGCCTAATCCTTGGGGTGGAGCTACTGGAGGAAGCAATTCTGGAAATCAGAGGTATACGGTACACAAATTTTGCTCATAATTTTAAAGGTTGTGTGTATAATGCTAATGTTATACCATATACATTGTAGCTAGAAAAGTTTTTGAGAATTATATTTTTGCAATTTTGTACTAATAAAAGAGCAAATTTTAATGCATGCAGGATTTAATTTTGCAGGCGTTAACTGTTGATGCATCCATTCCCTATAATGCTTTGTGGAATTAAATTGTGCATTTTTATGATGAGCAGCAAACAACAAGATTAAATTCCAGCAAATATTTTTAGCTATACAGATTTATGCATGTGTAATGTACTGCTATTGCTAAAAGGCAAGTGGCTTTTAATTATTAAATAGTGTTTTTATAATAAGTAGTTACTGGTACATGTTGTTTTGTTGTGGTAGGTGCATAAACTTTATTTTGCTTTACATTTGTTATTAGTTCTGGATCAGGCAACAACACTGGTGGTAGTGGGAGTGGTCAAAATGCAGCCACGCCTCTCGGTGGGAGTGGTCAAGCTAATTTATTGGCTCAGATGATGGCTGGAGCTCAGGTTAGCTTAATAAATATTACTTTTATAATAATATTATGATTAATTAAAAATGCAAAAAAAAATGCTATTTTTATGCCAAATTTTATATTAATAATCACTGGCAATTTTAAAAATTATTCATACAAATTTATTTTGTTTCTATAGGCTGGAAGTG